CGAAACTGAATAATTCAAACATGGCGGCAGTTAATACATAAATATAAACCACTTATGTTTTCAAAGTTAAATGTAGTCGGACACCAAATACTTAAGAAGAGGCCCGCTAGCGATGTGGGTTGAATCAAATAGGAATGGAGATAAGTATCTCGGTTCAGACGACCTTAATCTCTAAACTCTCCGAGTATTTAGTGAAACACGCGTCTCTAATCCCTTCGTTAGGAACTTTTAAACGAAAGGATGGTACGTTTGGAACCACTATTCCGACAGCACATTCTCCACCAGCACATAGAATAGTACCCCTTATTTTTAAAATTATTTAATACTTTATTTTTATATCTGTTTCTAAAATCTGAAATAATGGGAATAGGGTATCCGTACGAATATAAAAAACGTGTTATGTTGCCTCTCGTACTAAAAGAGCGCTGAAATGTTTACAATCTATGTATGCTCTGACAATGACTTTTAAAATCGTCTGTATACTTGTAGGTGTGTTTGTTTTCTAGATGCTGGATATACACAGTCACAGATATTGTATTGTACATAAATCTATACCAACCTTTTTTAAAAATCATTTTTTGGTAGAAGCTAACATAGAAAATAAAAAATTAAAAGAAATCCAAAGACAATCTAAAATTTATTATGTATTATTGTCGTAGATTCACTTTGAATTATTATGTATTACAAAAATACAAATTACAGTCTAATAACGTATCTAGTGTATACATGAAATAAAATAAAATTATTAAAACGGTTGCTTAGTTACCCTGTAATGAACTTTTTCATTAAAATTTACTTGAAAGCTCCGTGAATTCCTTCTAAGATTTATTACATCGGCTTTTTAATAAAGCCTAACATAAAGTAATAGAGACCAAAAATCGTTTTGTTTGTAGAGAGCCAATATCTTTTATTATAAAGAAAGTTATTAATTCAAACATCTATTTCAAGTATATTATAAGCAATAATTTATTCACAGAAATGTATTTCAAAATTTCTTTAGTTTATTTAGGAACTCTACAATATCGATTGACTACCAGACCCGGACTTAGGGAGGGCAAGTGGGGGCACTTGCCCCGGGCGCCAGTGTTAGGGGGGCGCCAAAATCATCATTAACAATACTTATTTATTACTTAGGTACAGTAAAAAAATCGCAGATCCCATTTTTTATGATAATTTTCATATGATAATTTACTTCGTTATTTAAATGTAAAAAATATCAGGCAACGAAAACTTAAAATGTAGTAACAATAATTGACGAAAATAAGTAACATTTACGAGCAGTTTAAACACCGGAATTTTTGGCACGCTTGCCGTGTCTCCAAAAATCACGATTAAAGACATGACATTTTAAATCAATATGGATTTTGAGTGATTGATTATTATTAAATTATCCAAATCGATTAACAACTAATCGTTTCTTTAAGTAAAAAAGTTTTTTAATAATCCTGCAGTTTACAAAATTGGTGAAATAATAATAAAAGTCTAAAACATTATTTAAATTGTTATCTGTTTTGATATTGCGACATAATACATCGATGTTAACTTTTTCTAACAACGACATCCCTATACGTGTACATTTCATCACATCCACTCTGACAAGCAGCATGGGGTTTGAATATTTGTTGCCGCATTTTTTTGCACTTTCTAATAATTATTTCCAAGATAAAAACGAACTTGAAAAATATGTGCATAGATTTTATATCTTATTCTAAAGCTATCGTAATAAAATATATATAACCCTTTTTGAATCAGACGTATATTTGTGACGCGCAGTAAGAATTTGTAAACAAGTGAGAAATTCACACATACGTTGCACAATACCAAATATGTAAGTACTTAGATAAATATCTGAGTTATATTATTTTCGCAAATACCACTCATGCGATGATGGTGGTGACACGAAATTTTATATTTCATACTATGCTCTATAGTCGGAAGGCACTGTATTTTATGGTTATGGTATACTCTTCTTGTTTCTCGCCGTTGGAAAATTTGCGGTATATGAATATTAAATTTGTACGCATTTTCCTCTACTAAAATATTAGCCAAATAAAACCTATTTATTCGTAGATAGGTATTTGTTTAAACTCAATAAGTAATAGGTAGGAGTTGCGTCAGAGACGATGAAGAAAAGCATAATCGCTTGGCTTACGGCAAATACTTAGCACGTCAGTGTGACTATTTCTGGAATCTTCGTCATCATCACATCAAGGTATTAGAAATAATTAAAAAGGATTTACTCGTGAAACCTATAAATATAATAACCCAATTTTATGATGTACACCAAGAGATTTATTTAATTTACCTATTCAAATTTCTTGATGTTGTACACCATTTCTTTTTCTTTTCTTTTTTTTCACCCTTTCAGGGTAGGTAATGGATGGATAATGGACTTTCATTTATACAGCCACGTATCTTTGAGGGTTAAGGATATGTATGCATATAATGCTGAATATGTATCAGTTTTCTTCAAAAGGTCTATTTAACTCACAACATTTAAAACAATGATTATAACAGTCTCATTATTTCCAAATATTAAAACATCATTATTGATATTGATAAAAAAATCAGCCTATTCTGAGCAACTGTTCGAAAATATATCGAAATTACATTCGGTAAGAAATCACATTGTTTCCGAAATTAGACCGAAATACAAAAAGAAAGGCTGTTAACAAAAAACTATTCAACAAAGTTTTTTCATACGGTACCTAACTGAATGAACCGAACGAATGCTTTCTTTGTTTACTGAATATATATAAAATCTATAGTAGGTAATAATATTTATCGTACGTCGACATCGCCCTATCTATCGTTTCTGTGAAGAATCAGAAGAAAATTATAAGTGAATGGATTATAAAATTATATGCCTTATTGTAACGAATATAAGAATTTAGGACAATGCAAATGTTGTTAGTAAATGGTATTTTCTATCAGCATCGGACCACGGCCGAACGGGATGCATGATTGAGTACGCCGATGACGCAAGAAGGCGGCCTTATCGATTTCATTATATTTTATCTTCTCTAACGGTGAGCTAAGTCGCGAATCATTTTTTTCTATTTAAAAGTATGGTTATTTTGTACATAAGTACAATTTGTACGACGATTTTATTGTTCTAAATTCAAATTGCACAAAAAAGATTTTTACACGACATTGGCAAAACGCACAAATCGTGCATGCCATATAAAAAAGTGATTTTTAAAATTTCGAATAGTTCCGTGATATCATTTTTTTATAGTAAATTACTAGTTCGCTGCTACATTCATCTTTATTATTATCCCCGAGTTGGGAATACACCCGTCGCACACAGAGTAACTTTGTACAAAGTGAAGGGAACTGTAGCTACTTGTTGTTTTTTATGACAGCACTCTTTTGAGAAAATATGTGAAGCATGAAAGCAAAGAAATATCTAATCGTATTTTGAAAGTAAAAATATATAAACACAGATAGGCACAGAACACAGGAAGTTCTGTTTTCTTTGTGTGAGTATATCCTAATTGGGTAGTTGACAACATTAAAAATATATTGTATTAAATATTGTGGTCATCCTATAAGATAATAGCGTAATAACATATATTTTTTGCAGATTACATAAAATAAAATAAAAGTTATCTGATAGAAAAACACCTCAACTCCGATGAATAAATATGGCTTACTGTTGATGATTTAATTATCATGAGGTTTGTTTATTTACTGGCGTGTGACGTCATACGCAGCGTATTGCCGGCATATGACAGACACAGCGTTTTTTGTGCAGTTTTGGAAATTTTAACTTTAACTTTGCTTTTATTGATAAATATAGGAAATTTTCCCGAAACGTTAATGTAATGTGCTTAATATGTAAAAAAATATAACTTTTTATTTACTACTGACCCATTTCTTTACCTCCCCACTACCCTCTTTACTCCTTCTCCCGGAATAGACATCTGTACTGTATCGTCCGCATACGTCACTCTAGTCTAGATAGATAGTAACAAGTTGTCTGTCTGTCCAAATAAAATCAGCGTTTGAAACTTACATTATTTTTTTTATATTATTTGAATATAGCCTCAGCGGCTATACAATAGGTAAGTATCATTTACCATTTTCACTCATTCTGGATCAGCAAAGCAATTCTGGATTATTCCGAGGTGCGAAAGTGTCCTGCATGACCCAGCATTTTTGGCATAGGCCGAAAAGTAATCCTAATATTCTTTAATAAAGTTCCCTTTATATCTCTTAAAATATTAAGAAATGAGCGGAGTTTCGTGGAGTTTTGAATTCAAGAGAGACTGTTCTTCATTAGTTATTCCCACAAATTTTAGATAATTTCAAAGTTTATCATACGGTATTGTAAAATAATTTTTTCCAAAAAAGAATTTTTATTTTTCTTATATTGTAATCATTTTTCACATGAAATTGCACATCAGATTTATGTATTCCCAAGATTTCACATTACAAGACATAAAACTTTGTTAGGGTAAATTAATAGATTATAAACAATCCATATTTGGTAACATTCATGAGACTGTGAATTTTCTTGTAAAAAAATTCCTTTCTCAAAGTTATACCAACAATGCGAAGCTCTAAAGAAAACGTAAAAACTTCTAAGCTCGCCCAGAAAATTCATGAAGGCAAATATTTTTAACTTAGAACAAAAAGAAACGAACCTTCGATGAAACATAATTAGAAAGAAAACGAGCAAAGTTCTTAATATTGGCCGACATTTAATCTCTCACTAACACTTCTGAAACTCAATTTTGCCATTAATTTAGCTCTGTAATCGCTTGCGGGTAACCGATCTAGAATACAAAATAAGAATTCGTTTTAACGACCGTTGCAAAAGCAACCTTTATATAAGAATAAGCAATACTGCTTATCGAAATTTACGTTTTAATGTGCATAAAGTTTTATTGTATGCTTTGGATTTAACCGTATCAAGAAGTTTAATTCAAATTTCAAGACCGTATTGAGGTTTAAAAAACGAATGAAAATATCTAGTTTCAAGTCTTGACACTTACCTTCGCTCATGAAATAAGGTATCCTAAATCTTCCCGATAGCACACGATCCCTTAACGATTGAAGGGTGGAGCCGTCGAAAGGAAGGGCGCCGCAAACTAGAACGTACAACACCACTCCCAGACTCTGAAACCAAGACATTACAGGTGACTAATGACGTCACATCACTCAGAAATCAGTTAACAACTCGAGAAATTAAGTAGAATGTATACAGCAGGTCAATTCTGCTAATGTTTACGTAATTAGCGCATCTCATTAAGATCTCAACGACTTGCATTTAACCATTGTACTATCTACATAAAGTCCAATATTTTTAGTGTCGTGTCTTCTTCATACATCAATGGTGACAGATATAAAATAATATGAACTTCAGATAGATAGTACAAAATCAAAATGGAAGTATTCCGTAAATATTAGCTGAATGGACCTGCTGTTAACAATAATTTACCACGTCGAAACTTCATTAAAATATCTCACATATGTCTCTACGTATAAAAATACATAACACTATCTGTTCGCCAGTGTAAATTGTAGCCTATGTCACTTGCGTATGATGTAGTTTCCCGTTGGAGAAAGAAATTTTTACATCAGTCCTGCAGTTTTCAAGTAAGCACTGGCTTAAAACAATCAATCATTCCCTCTTTATAATATTTGTATAGACTTTCTTACTTTCGAAATAGAAATATCAAATTCAATTGACTCTTATCAACTATTCATACATCTAAATTAACCGCAATTGCGTCAATCGAATTGCCTTTTTTTATATACAGAAATAATTTTATGTGAATCACGTTTTCAATTATATTTTTATTGGCTCGCAAGATAACTGTTCTATTTCGAGTATATTTAATATCGGCGGGAGGAGTTGGTGGGAAAAAGTTAATATCGTACCCATATGTCAATTTCAGGGCCCGTGTAACGTTTGCCTTCGAAAACCTCGGGTGCTGCGTATGGTGGGGATCCGCACCATGTCGCCAGCAGTTCCCCTGCGGCGTAGTAATTACTGAAGCCGAAATCTGCTATCTTGATGTTCATATTTGCATCCAGTAATAAGTTTTCGGCCTGAAATTTGTTTTTGTATCAATAATGTAACTGAAGCAAACAAGATACTTATATAAAAATGAAAATGATGATTCTGAATTTATTGTTTACACCTAGATAGTAACATTAGAAAATTACACCAAAATCCGATGACTTCGACATTGTTCAGGGGTGCGATACTTTAAAAACCCGAACCCGAAATCGAATTCGCTCATGTTTCCGAATACACCTTATTTAGGATAGAAATTCTATTTGGATTTATTTTTGTATCAAAATATAAAACAAGATTGACTGATTAATACGTGTCTCAAATATTCTATTTCTATGTCATTTCGAAACTCACTTCATTTATGCCACGAAACGTTCTAACCTGGAACTAAAAAGGCTGGGAGGATGCCGCTTTTGAAGTATATTCGAACACCTGAGTGAATTCGAATTCGGGTTTTTACTGAATCGTATTTCCATTATGACCGTAACAAATAAGAATTCATTTATTTTGTATAAAAAGGGCCGACCCGTTCATACAGGCCAAACTAGCCGCCTAGAGCGCTCGTATTTGAGCCATGATTATATGATTATGTTGCTTCTTGAAAATGCAGTGCCAAATAAAAAAATGAGTATGCGGTGTTCAAACATACAAAATTTTCAAACAAGAAATACCTAAGGATTTTCTTATATTATTGGCAAAATTACTTTTTAATTGATAACTGCATTGGTCTTTTATTGTGATTTTTTATGAGCGGCATACCAGTGTTTTCTTTGCATTAATTAATGCAAAGAAATCACTTTAAATCAAACATTAAGTAAATTCAAACTTACGAGACTTTTACTCATAAATATAAAAGAATAAAAATAATCAGGTAGAGATTTAATACTAACGTAAAAATTTTCTTCTGATTAATTCTCCTACCTTCTTATTTCTCCAGAACTTTACAGCAAAATTTCTTACCAATAACATAAAATAGCTTACATTTTTGGAGTATAATAATAAAAGTGAGTTATAATTTTACGTTTAGCAAAATAACAAACGCAGCATACCGACTTAAGTAGGGAAAGATAAATATTTGTAATACCTTAAAGCATTTCTTGAAGAAACATTTGTTTTCCGTAAACAGTCTTGTGCTAATTTTATTTTCATGTTATTAACTAGTAACTAAGTTATTTCTAATATATATATATTGCTCAATACTGATTATTACCCTTTTAAATGATTTTCTTAAGGCTAAAAATAAATAGAGCGGTTTTGGGTTTTAAATAAAATAAATGAATTATTACTAATATATTTTAAAAACATTCACACTGTCATATACCGTTACATGAAATAATATATAATAAATTTCTGCGACAGAAAGTGTAAATGTCAGAAGTCAAAATATTTTTATTCGAATTATCTTAATTAAGTACTTTTTAATCGTCCAACTTTTTTCCCTAACTATCGTTCAGGACGTCTTATGGCTGATAATAAAAACAGAAGTAATTAGAAATAGAAGTAACCATATTTACTAAAACCATTTCATTAAAAATAATGGGGTTCATTTAAGAAAGTCTGTTAACTCACCTTGAGATCTCTATGAACTATTCGCCTTTCATGGCAATACTCTACAGCAGATAAAATTTGCCAGAATTTTCTACGCGCCGCCTGCTCCGCCATTCTGCCATACCTTGCGATGTAATCTGTGCCAATTAAGAAAATTATACCGTAAATTAATCATTTATATTACAATAATACAGATAATTGTAGCTTGATGGTACTTTTATTTCTACCTGTTCGTTTATTGTAATAAGAAGTAGCCAATAATTATCAGAGTGACATTTTAGAGCCCGTGGTGAAATCCCTGTCTGATACGTAATTTCACAATAAGGATTGGGTTTTTCAGCAAGACTCGGCGCCATCCCATAAAGCAAAAAGCACCCAAGCTTGGTTGAGGGAGAATGTGCCGACTTACATCGCGGCGGCCGAGTGGCCCTCCTTCAGCCCCGACCTCGACCTGCTGGAATATTCTTTATGGACTGAATTAAAGCTCAGGACCTGCCGAAAGTCCCATCCAAACTTAAAATCACTGAAGGCTTGTTCGAGAGCAAAGTGAATTCCACTAGAAAAGATTCGTGCCGCCATTGATGACTGGCCAAATCATCTAAGGGCCTGTATTAAAAACAAGGACGCTCACTTCAAATAAAATATATATTTAATTGCTTTTTAGAAATATAAGTTAATTATTAAAAAAGTTACGCAACTTTTATTTCGTCTCAAAACTTATGAACACACGAGGTAATCTGAAATTATCCGTAAACCATATTTTTTTATAAAGTCAATACGTACATCTAGAAATTTTCGCCTTTATAATATAAGTATGGTACGACGTAAGATCTGCAGCGCCCCTAAACCAATGCACTTCGAAACTGCCACACGAACTTTCATGTATTTGAAAAATATATAAAAAATTATATCTTTCAAAAAGTTAGATATAAAATAAGAGACGGAATAAATCGTCACCAGCCACCACTTCAGAAACGTGACGCTCAAAAAAATTTATTATAATTAATATTCCATGTTTCTATTCACGTCAGCAATTCAGACATTTTTATGAGTGTATTTTTTAAAGATTAATGGATCGATGCGTCAGACAAAATGTTAAACGTAGGTATATTACTTAGGCTTCCTAAGAACAAGAAAAATTCTTCGAATTCCGAGCTCAAATTAGTTAGATAGAAGTCAGACTCTTTTAGCCCAATATACTCAAAAAAATATCTATTTGATATCAAGAAAATGCAGACGCAAATGATGTCGAACATAAATTAGTGTGATTTCCCCTCAACTCATCAATATAATCGTAAGTGAGATATGAGCAAGTTATTTTAAAAATTGGGAAATAATTGTAAAGAATGGTTTTATTCGATAGTTATTATTTCACTATCACAACTATTGGAAGTAGAAGAATTAACTTTATATTGCATTGGTATAACGAAAATAAAAGTTCTTGATTACGAGTAAACGGAGTTTAAAACAAACTTCCAGTTTAATCTACTTAATGATCTATGTAAAATTGCCAGGAAATAATTAACTTTATATAGTACAGGTAATTTTAAAATATGCAATACATTCCGAGATTTCAAAACCAACGTAACTACCTAAATAAAATACTTAAACCATTATTTCAATGGAGCGTGAACGATATTAGTTATAGCTTTCTTTTAATAGCTCATTAAGTTCAATTGTAAAATAATGTAATCAGATATTCGCGGCATTAGGTAATTAAATGATTTATCTTATCCCAACCAAGCTCCTAGCCTATTATTCCATTTCTTTAAAATTGTTTGACCATACCATCGTACCTGCCAAAAAAAATGTGATCTTGGACTGTAGGTCAAATCAATATAATGTAGAATACATCGAATTCAATAGAAGGTCGAATGTATTTCCCAAATTACTCTATTCGATATTATTTCATAAAGAAGTTTTTAATAAGTCGCAAAATCACCTGCTCATGCGCAGGTGTATACAATTCAAGTTGTTTAAAATTAAATTAAAAAAATTGCGACATAAGACAATACGAATGTTTTGAAGAGTTGTATTTTTATTAAAATATTATATCCAATTTTAAAAATACATTATGTATGTTATTAGAAAATTTACCTTATTTCGAACTGTAGAACAAAGAACTATTTTTATCAGTAGAAAACGTTGTCATCTTTCCTGGTTTGTGCAACCGGGCATATGACAAATGAAAAATTATTAATAAAAAAGTGCATCAATCAACTCGTTAACCGTGTTTAAGCCCCTCATAAATTTTATTTTAAAATTTCTATTTTAAATCGCGGCTTTATTAGATCTTTAAGAGTTTTTTTTTTCATTGTACTCATAGCTGATGATAAAGTTAACTTTTTTGATTGGAGTGTAATTAGTAATTATGATGTTGTCTCAATGACCTCAAACTAAGGACTATTGTTCGATGACTGTAATTGATGACTTGCCTCAGTATCACTAAATTATAGTTTAACCTAACAAGCACGCAATGTTGCTTTTATATTTAAAATAAGGGTTTTGTGAAAATATTAAAATAAAACAGTCTTTTAACAAATGGCCGGCTAAAATTACAAAGTTTATTTTTAAACACAACTCCACCTTTGTAACTAACCGTTAAAAGTCACAAAAAAAATTATTCGGAGATTAACGATTTGCGTCAATCACAATCCGAAAATGGACTTTAAACTAGAGCTTACGCAAAGTCATTGTACGCCAACTTCCCACATTAAGATATATTAATGTCAAAGGCAAGAGATCTAAGCTTTTTTGGAGACAAATGTAGTCAGCTGTGTTCGTTCGGTATTTCTTCTCCCTCCCCCGCCTCCGAAGCCAACCCTTGTAGGCCCAGCACCCTGCCCATGACGTCACTGGCAGCGTGCTGACGTCATAGACGAGCGGCCACGAACTCACGAGGCGGCCTTAATCGATTTGGAGGTTACAATAATGCGCTTGTTCAGTGGTATTAGAAGATTTATGACGGCAATGTCGTCATGTTATATACTATAAATTACTTTATTATGTGCATTTATAAGAGATTTGGTTAGAGGGGAAAGATAATTGGATCAATATTAGTAGATAACTGATCGTAATGATATATTTCGAATATCAATGATTAATGTTGGCGAATGAAACTAAAATTATGTACAAATTAAATTGAGGAAGCTGAATATCTTGGCTGTGTCTCTGATAGTCTGCATTACTAGATAGTGCCAAGAAAACATAAGAATATTGTATGTTACTCTTTTATTAATCGCAAGCAATATTTGTTGTAAGTAAACTATACTTTGAAATTAATAACTATCATTTCATTTCTGAATGTATGTCGTGTATCTTTACGGTAACAATAGATCGAGCGTCGCTTTCAAACGTACAGATGATTGATAGTCTTGTTTTATGGCAGTAATTAAAACGAGCCCGATAAAAGTTTCTGAATAACTGATTATTAATATTTCAGCACAATGACGTCAGTTACAAACTTCCGTGTTAATTTTTACAGGCTACATTTTGTAAAGGAAAAATTATTTTTTTATTCATAATCGGTGTCCTTTTAAATTTTTTATTAAAACAGTAATACGTATACTTATATACTTTTAACTCGATGCTTATAATTATGAAACACTCACCAAAAATTTCTCCTTTGCTTGCGTATTCGGAAACTATGTAGATCATATTTTTCGTCTCCATGACCTGAAAATAGAAACTAATCATAATTTTCATGAAAAGAATAGCATACAACTTTTACTCTGAAGAAAGCCTAAAGCCATCGTAAAGCCAAAAAAACCGGCAAACGAGGGGTTCCGTACTTGAAACGAGTGAAAAATCACGTTTGTTGTATAGACGCCTCGATATACATTTGTTTTATTCTGTTTTTAAATTTTTATTGTTATAGCTGCAACAGACATACATACATCATCTGTCTAACTATCACGGTGTATAAGATACAGCCGTGACAGGCGGGCAGCGGAGTCTTAGTAATAGCATAGTAAAACCAAAAAAGTACGCCGACTCGACCCTTGAGCGAGGGACGAGGGACAATAGCCTAAAAACACAGGACTGACGATAATATATATCTGTCCGTCCCTGTAATTATCCCTATCTCATTGCCTGGCGCAATGAGACAGTTTGGGAGTTAGTGATTTCGATTATACGCGCCCTCTTTATCCAATTAATATAGTTTCTATAATAGATAACAGTTGTTTTATGACTTAAAATAATACGAATCATTAGATTAATATTAGTGACTTGTCAACAAAAATTGAGAATTATTTTAGTTACTTAACAGCCAGTTGCACAAACGTCCTTAAAAATCATTAGTTTAAAGCGGCATTACCTGTATAAATTTGTCATTTGACATCATTAAACCTTAATGGACGATTGTGCAACTGACCATAAGCTGTTACAATATATTAAATGAAACCCATGATTTAATACATGAATAATATTGGACTATAAACAGCTCACAATTCAAACAAATGCTTGAAAAATTCGCCCATTTTCGTCGTCAAATCAAAATACTAATGCCATTAGGTATTGTTGATGAAAAATATCTGCACGTTCCTCCTAAAAACTTGTTATAGGTATAATATAAAATTTTAAACAGAACAACTAATGAACTCCCTTTGGGAAGTGTTTTGGAATAGCTTTAACTAGTAGATTAGAGTGGAGAGCTACGATAGTGCTCGGACATCACTAATCTACTCCCTCGGACCACCATTAGGCAGCCTGTGAGAACCATCGGCTTTAATAGTTTTAGTAGAGTAGTTTCAATGAAATTATATTCTATTTAGGTATCTAAATCTTAATGCCAGATTCCTTGCGGGGCTAAGGAGTACTGAAATTATAAGTAAATTTGACATATTATACTATAATTTTTAAGTAAGTAAGTTCTTATTGAGTGAAGATATCTACGAAATTCAAAAACATAATTAGATTTGCGTAAGCCTAATAAAACGTATCAAAAGGTTTTGGATACGTTCAAGGCGCAACTTGGTTAAATATAATAACTATATAAGAATTAAGCTTAATACAACTATATTACCATAAATGAGAACTGGATCTCTGCAACGTATTGACGATATTAGAAACCTGTAGTTTGGTATTAAAATACACGTAGTAATATTAGCTAATGATTAATTACTGGGTGATAATGATTTTACTGACCAACAATAAGTATTACAGAGGTGTAATTTTTAGTATTACCGGACTGTCATGTCATCGAGAAGATAAAATGTGACGTAAGAGAGCTTAAAAATCTTGAAGTGAAACTGAACTGGTCTTGATATAACATCATAAATATAAATCTAATTCTGAATAATTTAATTCGTTAACGGAAAGCCGACTATCAAACATATAAAATGGTGTGCTCAAGTTCAATGGAACCACCGGAATTAGACAGATTTCGAGTTTCTTAACGTTCACAAAAAAACCTTGATTATAATTAAAGGAAGTGGATTATAATATCAAATACACAAATTTACTTTGATAAAGTGTATTCGTATTTGAAACATTTATTAATAAGTCTAATTATTTTTATATTCTGTGATTATGCTAGTATTGAGTTATGTATACAATATGTCTGCGATTATACGAGTATTGATTAAAGTATACCTACAATATGGAATATCGAAATTTAAAATAAACTAACGCATTTATATGAAATTAATCTTTAGATTGGGTTTAGGTATATAAAACTTTTTGATATAGCCTAACGTACAAAATAAAATTGAATTTAATGATCTTTCTTTATTTTTAGGAAATTTATTTAAATCTACATAGAACTTTACATTTTGTTGGTAATCACCAATATCTATTTGATATAACAGCCAATCTAAATTAAAAAATTTTACTTATTTCTTAGAAAAAAGGTCTTCTAATATATAACATAAATCCATAGATAATTATTATCTATTTTTAAAAGCTATAGAACACTAAAGATTTCGAATTAAAAGATTCAATATATCGATTATAACAAACAGAATTTCTGTTAACCATATATCAAAAGAAGTTCTAGAAATAGAAAATCTAAGTTAAGATTTGGTAGGTAGTCTAGGTTGGTAAATACATATAAACGCAAAGTTTCGCTTTAATTCTATCCAAGTTTAGGCTTTTGTTATGAATTTTATTATTACACAATAGTTGTAAACAATTAATTTATAAGTTAGTTTATTATTAGTTACAAATTACAATATAAAATTACATGGAATTTTAAAAATTGCTTCATAAATGTTTTATTGAAACCGCTAGCGTCTCAGATAGTTTAATATATTTTAGTTTTTTTGTTGGTTTTTTATCCTTATTTTTTCTTTAGTTTGTTATATTAATTAAAATTTTCTAATTTGCTTTTTTTTTGTCTAAGTTTAACATGCTATATAAGAATGTTGTGTATGCTTGTAAAGGCTTACATTTACTCTCTTTTTAATATCTAATATGTTTATCTGAAAGCACGTCATGATAAATACATAAATAAATAATTAGAAGTCTGAGCATAATAATGCCAGTTTGATAATTTTCTTCTGAATATATTTAAATTAAGTTTAGTTAATGAATAATTTAATATAGCAAAGACTACTCGGATTCGAAAAAGTTTTATCAAGACACAACAGAGACAAGATGCCGCATTTATCGCTAACATAAAAGCTAGATGAAGACAATGTGTTTGGGCCATGCCCGTGAACCATTCACGGTCACAGCAAAAACGTAGACTCTACTAAAAATATCAACAAAAATTTATGAGTCAGCGCGTTACGATCGTCCGTCTGCTACCATTATATCTTTGGTGCGGAAGTAATACTCTTCAGGTTTTGGACGCTTTCACTGTCTGAACCGTTTCAATTTGACATATAAATGATATTCACGAACTTCACGCTACAACTATTATTTATTTATTTATTTACTCTTTATTGCATTAAATAAAAATAACACAAATGGCGGACTTAATGCCGAGGGCATTCTCTACCAGTCAACCTGAGCGAATGTTGGATTTGCATGTTAAGCGATATATTATCCATGATAGCGATTGCAATCGCGGGGTTTTTTTAGAGATATTGAATGAATGATATCGTTAATTGGACGTTGACGTCAATTGAAATTATCTAAGGCAAGCGTTTGTCGCGAATGTCTTTAAAGCCATTGACAAATGGCACACAACAGATTTGAATGCTAACAGAAATCTTTCGACGGTTTCAACTAATTTTATTATGTTTCTTGATCATTAAAATCATAATTCGTTACAAAAGCGATAAACATTACATAATTTCATAAGTCGTTATCACAAGCGCTATAACTTTAAACGGATTGCGATATATTTGGAATCAGATACTTGTTTTATTAACATTTATTAAGATAAACAAGAAAACGGCAGTATAGCTGACAGTTTATATTTATAGAACATTTATAATTATACACAATCTAAATAAAACGTCACGTTGTCCATATATGTGAATGTTTGAGCTATTAATACAGTATTGTAGCGTGACCCTATAAAACGTGATACTTTAGAAGATTCCGTCTAATAATATTAATGTTTATATTGATAGCCTAAACAGCAATCTAACAGTGTGTGTTCACACTACCACCACCACCACCACCAGCCCTTTTACGTCCCCACTGCAGGGGCTCAGGCCTTCCTTAAGGATGGTTAAGGAGGATGGGCCATGACCCTCCACGCTGGCCCAATGCGGATTGGAGGGTATTGACGACTGCAAATGCAGCCGGGACCAACGGCTTAACGTGCCTTCCGAAGCACGGAGTAGCTCGAGATAATAATTTTTTGGTCACCCATCCTGTGATGACCACCCATGCCGCGGCGCTTATCCACTACGCCACCGAGCTACTCACACACTAAAATATTCTAACCCCATTATAATGTTTGTCATAGGGAATTGTAAACACATAACATGCGAAGGTTAATGTACGCCAGAAGCTAAAAAGTATAATATAATGAATGGTTATACTATAGCCAGTCATTATATATAGTTGTATCCTTCCGACTTCTGACTGCCAATGCGTATACACAATTAAGTGAACGCTTAACGTACCGCAATTTCCTGTGCATTTCGTAATGTATGTGTAATTTATATAAAACAATGGATGTGTTTTAGTAGTTTTGAAAGCAATTATTAACAGCGCTACCTACACAAAATAAAGATATTTACCTAGGTCGTGATATTTATATTTGACGTCGAATAATACAAAAATCGTAACACGAAACTCGGTAACTCCATAAGATGTTTACACCCAAAATTAATAAATATTTTTTTCAATAGACAGATATAGATACTATCAGAACAGAGTTAATCCGTGTCTCTAATACTTCTACTATATCAAAATAAGAAAAGTGGTTCGTGGATATTGTTTTGTGTAATTAATGATTTGGAAAACAGGCAATGCTTTGTAGAACGTTGATTACGACGACGGATATGGCTGTTATTGTTCTCTGAAATCGGATATCCTACTGTGGGGCAAGGATAAGCTGTTTACCAATCACCATTCAAGATGACAGAAATGTTTGTGAACAACACCACCGGTAACACATCGAGCTTATAATAGTATCAGGTCCATTCATTAAACAGCACGTGTTACGAAAAATTATGCAAGACTTATTGTTCAAACCGGAAATGTTGTGACCTATTTATGATTGGTTAGGGTTACCGTGCGTACGGATTATTGTATAGGTTAGCATAGGCATATCGTCTGATTACAAAGCGTGCCAACTTTAGTAGATCTCAATTTTGCTATATTTTATAGCTCAATAGAATCGCAACTAGTTATATTTTGCCATTGTAATATCTATCTGAAGTCCAATATTAATATATATCTGTCACCATTGATGTATGAGAAGACATTTATATACGACAGAAGGTGAAAACTCGCTAATACTTATAAAAATACAAGAAAACAGGAGTTACTTTTTCAATAAGTTTATTGTGACAGATTGACTTTATCCGTTTACGTTGTTATTTAAAAGTTTCAAGATTAAAAGGAGAAATAATATAACAACGGAGGCGGTATACGTTGCCGTCGTCTACCTACAATATTGCACTTATAATATTGAACTTTAGGTAGATACTATAATGGCAAAACGTCTTTAAGTAGATACTATAAGGCAGTAAACGTAATAAATAGTTTTGGGAACCCCTGGTTTAAATCAAGTACCAATTTAATCCTCGTTTTTAATAAAATGGATTTATGCCTGTACCAATAAGGAACTTAGAACGATAAAAAGCATTCATTGAAATTTTTATTTGACAGTAGACATGAATATAAACAATTAGATAGAGCGAGATAATACATAAATCTGTCTCAATCAGGAACATTATTACTCGTAGGACTTTCCTTGCGTGAAAATGGAAATTAAACACATAATGACTGAGTCATTAAAGATAAGAGCAATAACAACAGCTATTTAGCGATAATTAACTGGATCTTGTGTAAGTATGATGTGAATAAACATCTATACGATCGTATTGACCTGTGACTATTTCTATGGATATTTTGGAATAATTTAAACGCTGCATATCTATTGTGTAAAAAAAATTTTTTACATTATATTACTTACTTAACATGAGGTTGACGACCGATTGTTTAGTAATAAAATGATAATAACTGTATGTGTGCCTTCGTAAGCAAATCAAATGAAAATAAAGCCCAGTGACCCGTATTTAAGGAGACCACGTGAACGCGATAGGTTATTGGCCCAATCGATCCGTGCGATTGGGAGAAAGTCTTCATTCCGGTTTTATTTAAGGCGAATAGCACAAAGGTTCCCAAATAATGTAAACTGTACCTACGCCTACGTGAAGATAAACCGGCTCGTGTAATGTGTCACGTGGAAGTCACGCGACACTGGTATTCAAGGCGGCCGAGACAAATCGATTGTTACAATGACTCGACCGATTCGTGATTTTTACGTACGTGCCGTTTATGCCGATAACCAATTTAAATGGAGGGATACTGGCGTTTCAATAACATTGTATAACATAAAACAAACAGAGATGACGATGCTTTCAATTAACTTTATTTTTCTTTTAAATGTGTTTAGAATGATGCAAGATTTGATGAACATATTCTTAAAATGTTATATCAGATTTAAAAGGGATTAAGCTGAGATTTAAATGCGCTAAAAGTAACAAATAAACATTGAAATAAGTCGAACCTGTCGTTTAACTACATAATATAAATTAGTGTCCCTATTATTTTTCTAAAAATAAGAACCTTATTTATTGCTCTAATAAGGAAGTATTTAAAAATAAAACGAAAGCACAAAAAAGCGCATAAAAGACTCCAGCAAAAGTTGATTTTTGCAGGAAACGAATGGACGAAAGACAGTCATTTCCGTTCCTTTTAACTAACATATTAAAAAACTGAAATTTGAAAAGTTCGAAACTTAGATATCAATACAAATACGAAAAAGTACAAATAGAATATGAGTTGTTTATTGAGTTTTGAAAACTAATTTACTTTTAAATATAAAAGAAAACCGGAAGAATTGTACTTGTTGTATCGTACTGTAGCGACATCTAGTTTGATTTCGGAAACTAATGTTTTTTTTTTAATACTTTCGTCATTGAAACATACTTATTTCGCAACATATTAAAAACTCATTTTATAAAGAGTGAAGTAAGTTCGTTATTTTGTTCCGGTTTTAAAAAATAGCTAGTCTTAATGTAATCGTTTACTTATATTACAGTTGTATTTGAATTTTAAATAGCGATCTTTTTACATGTAAAATCAAAGTCCGCATGGATTTTTCGTAATTAAAATCGTTCGACTACGAAATATTGTAACGAAGCACGCGAGTAATTACGTAAACTGTCTTTACATACGTAATTAGTGAGTTACAACATTATTAGCGTCAGTATGATTTACGTAAAAGCTTCTTTCAGGTTGACGTCAATAACAAAAAGGTCGTATAGGTGAAAATGAAAACCGTATTTTAAGAAATAAGTGGAGGCATTTCATAATTTATTCAGTGATTTACATCGTGACCGTCGTTCATTCCTTGTGTTGATCGATTCAAAATTTAAATACGATAAAAACAAAAGTCATTCAGTTACATGCCAATGTATTGTGAGGCTTGTTTCATTGCGGTTATCTTGCCCGGGAATAACACACACACGATTTCCTTCAGATAAAATTATTCAGCAAAAATCAGTTACAATATAATTCTACATGATAGCACTATGAGAATTTAAAAATAATGTCTGATGTTATTATAAATGTTTTTAAACATTCAAAAACAAAATAAACCTCATATTCAGTGTCATAAAAAAATACATGGATTTCGGGCGAAGACCAAAAAAGTACACAATATATAATAGCAACTGATAGGAGGCAATATAACTCCTTCTTATAGTATTTTACTAACCGATCGCCATTTACATTATAATCAATTCTAAATTCCAAAAACCACAGACAAATCAAGTATGGTTAAGTTGTAAAAATCAATAAGTTGAATAATTTCAGTAACGCAAACGTTTGAGCCAGTATAAATAAAATGTGATATAATATAAACTATATGTATAATATAAATAGTACTTATCTATCTACCTACGACGAATACGTAACTACGACATAATTAAATAAAAGAAAACTTGAACTGTTATCTGAATCGCAATTTTAATTATTGATTGTTTATTATTTATCCAATAAAAGAGTTCGTTGTGTCATCCGACAAAAAAAATGATAAAAGAACGTTCACCTGTAGATACGTACACGAGTATCTAACTGTGCACAGTGGCTCAGAAGTCGTTTACTGTCACATTCAGACCGACTAGTAGAGTTATCAACCATATCCAGGTAAACCGCGAAAGAATAAAGTCTTCGCTACACAAACGGCAGACGCAGAACAATACTTCGCATACTCATAACCTAATTAAGAAAAGTAAGACATTATGTAGTGTTGAACTTGATTTGCAATGATTTTTAACAGCCTTTTAAAAGACACTCTCAGAAGTACTTAAATACTGATCAGAATATACCTATCAGTAGTGCGTAAAGTAGAAATATAACATGGCTAAGATATCGTATCTTACGGCTAGAGAGTCATTTTTCATTAAAAAAAACCACATTTAACCATAACTACTTTCAATCAACCTCATATCTGGTAACATACCACCAACAAACAATTTTCAGTTCATAATAAATGCTACAGACCCATCAACACAAATCCACGTGAATAATAGCTTTACTTGTCAAAATCTGCATCGCATTCTATATAGGAGTACCTTTAGCATGGTCACCGCTACCGATTCCCGTAATTTCTGTCATTTGTTCCGAATCAACGACAATATACGACTATTCCACTTGACCGACATGACTGGTGTCCACCCGATAAGCGAGTTAATGATGTAATAATTAATGTACTCATGACTTGTTACTTACACATACTCAACAAGGTTATGTAGGTAAGTAAACTGTATATTATTATTAAAAGCACGCGAACTGTTGTACGGTGTAGAATGGTAAGTACCCTAAACGTAATAAAGGGAGAATAAACTTCGGCAACTCCATCAAAACTTTAAGAAAACTCACGCTAAAGAACTTTCGTGGTGCGCATTCAATCTTATTACAAAATTTGAAATGGATCCGCAAAATCTTGATGTCAAGTACGTATTGTCAATGGAAAATGGTATCTAGTGAAAATGGAATCTAGTTTATTATGATATCGAACTTTTTTATTGTGTCTTGAATGAGACTTGTTTTATATTAAAATTTATATATAGAGCAAGGTAATCAATCTTTATTGATGTGCGAGTAGTAATTTATCACTGCTTATTAAACTTATATTTGTAAGAATGATTTTCTTGAACTCTTGGACATATTTTTGTTAAAATAATGAGAAATCTTTAACTTCACTTAGCGATATTTTGCAATTAGGAAAAACACAGCTACCTCAATAACCACACTATTTTATTTATTAAGTTTTCGTTTATTTTGACACATTTAAAACTGTGTGAAACGATTGATCTAAATTAAATAAATAAATAACACCAAATTACAAAGTTAATGCGTTTGTTAATAATCACAATAGTAAAAAAATTACCTGATAAAGCTTAATAATATGAGGATGATCCAGCCTCTTCATGATGTCGACTTCTCTGTATACTTTCTGAAGATTGCTGGCGTCTAATTGGGATTTATCTATTATCTTAATTGCTACCTGTAAACAAAAAAAAAACTAATTAATATACTACACACCCCCGATACAACTTTAACAGACAAAAAAGATCCGCACAAATGTAAAGAGAGCTTTAAGGAAAATTTTTCATATGTAAGTAGTGTATTATTATCTTTTTTAGAAAGATTTTGAATGATATTGTCTGGGGCAAGCATTAGACGCCAATATTACTTTGAATGGTATGGAGTAATGTAATTAAAGAGTTGAATGCTAACTAAAATCTTTCAAAAGGTTTAGTTTTTAGTATATTTCTTGATGCTTCAAATCATCATTCGTTCCGGAAGCGACCGCAACTTTAAAAATTGCATACTATTAATCGCTATTTTTATGATGGATTGCGACAGATTTGAAATTAGAAAATAAGCCAACAGCTCACCTACTTTACATCGTAGTTATCTTTTTTTATGATCAAGTTAATACACTTTATCAACAATGATACTAACGGAACAATGCCGTTAGATTTCCAGACAGACAAAGAGTAATGACGTCAAGCGAGCGTCATTTCTGAACGATTTAGCCAATTGACGTGATTGGTACCGCAGCCGCTGTTCTCGCTTGCGCCCGGAAAAAAAGGAACACGCCATAAACCAAACGGAACAAATGACGCTTTTGATATTAGGGTAGGTACATATTATTTTGTACCTATTCAATAAAGGTGGAAATAATTGTAATATAAGTATATATACACTGGAACAATTTTAAAAATTCGTTCAGCTATGGTCAAAAACGCTATACGCGACAAATGCTATGTATTCATATAAACTTCTAAATAAAACTATGCTTGGCAATATTTATAATTAAAAATAAAAGCTTCATTTAGAAAAGCCTTAGAGATCCAAATCTTCGTTAATAAACTGTCAATTATAACATACGTGCATATTTTAAGTTAAACACTAATTCTCCTAAAGGCTAATTTTAAATTATAGCGTATGTCATCCGCATATGATGTAGTTTGCCGTCGGTGATAGAGTTTTTATGTTCAAATGAGTATTTCCGAAGATTGCTTCTTACAAACAAACAAAGAAACTTTATCTCTAGATTTGAATAAGTCATAAATTAGCTTATTGAAACTGTACAACTGCCTAGAGCGCTCGTATTTGATTTGAGGGGCGGCTTGACAATCTGTTATACTCGAATTATTTGAACCCATGTGGTACCTTTAAAAAATGACTTTTTAGTTTTTTTTGCCATGAACTCACGTCCGCGATATTCAAAAATCCAAAATTCTGACACTATATATAATAGGTATTGACTTAGAATTTCTTTTACCATTGGCATTATTACACTCTTTGATTGTTTTACCTTACATTAGTATTTTATTTTGTGGTGATTTTGTTATGGGCGTCGTTACAGGGTTTTGCCTAAGGCGCCTAATTTCATTGAGTCACCGTTGCTCAAAACCCACGAATTCTTCATGATATTCAGGCACTAATATTTACTAAGCAAGCACCCAAAACTTTTCTAATAGATTGCCTACTACAAAAGAATACTATTGCAACCAGTTACACTAGTACTCTTAAGTTGGTAAGTGGAATTTGTTAGTCCAGTGTCTTACTCACAGATATAATATTGAACTTCAGCCTACACAATACTATGGCAAAATGCAAGAAGTTGAAATTCTATTGAGAGTAAACATTAGTAGTATGACCATTACTGCTAATTCTGCAGGATACATTCGAAAAATTATTTCACCTATGAGCAGCTCCATTCGCAAGTAACATAGGCTATAATTAACGACGGCAAAGTTGATAACAGTTAGTATAATGTATTCTGAATTTGTTTTTTAATTTTAGGAAAATTTGGACCCATAACCTCGATCTACTACTCATGATATCAAGATTAAAATTGTTACGAAAAGTAATTTATGTTGGACTCTAAATAAATCAACAAACAAATCGGTTTGTTTTGGTACGAGCATGGCAGATAATATATCAATCATTATAATTTATAAATAAACAATTACACAAGCTAATTTATTATTATTGTTATATACATGTATATATTAAGAACATGATTGAAAACAGAATACTGATATATTTCCGATACATATGCGTAATGATTTGGTATTACACAAAAAAAAGTTATTTGGTTGTTCCACTTCCATTTATAATTATTTTTACATCGGATATAAAGTTAATAAAAACACAGACACTGCGAGGTAGCAATTCAAAACAGGTCTTAAAAGGTTTTATTGGTTCTCGGTTCGGCATTTGATTTTATTTGTTAATTTATGATATTGTTTTAATAACACCAGTCCCAGATACCCTGAGATGGATTTAAAAAAATAATATGTACTTGCTTTCCGCCAACGGCTTCGCCCGCATGGTCCTGTATTATACATACAAATTTTCCTGTTAAATAACTCTGTCATTAATGAAAACCGTATTATAATCCGTAATGTAATTTTAAACTCCACTTTGTTCCTGGTATTCTGAGATGGGATTCGAACATACGACCTTTCGCAATCGGAGAGACTGCACTAACCACTAAGCTACCCAGAACCTAACAGGATTGAGGAATCTTTCAAGCACTTGTTGCTTTTTGTTCTTAAGGTCGTTATAGGTCTTGGTTATGATTGTTTTACCAAAGGCGGCAACTTTCATTGAGCAAGAAGAATGTAACGCAGTAGAACTTTACAGTACTATAGTGCCGGTCAACGGCGACCGCATCGGCGCCGTCATTGACCTCATTGTTGCGATAGCGCTGCTACGCACGCATCTTTACGTCATTCTCACTTGAAAGATCCTCCGTGTTCGATAAGATTTCTAAATACATTGGAATTTGTAGCAATCAATATAGGACATAGCTACATATATTTCAAACTAGTTGTTACCACTTCACCCACGTTAATTATAACCTTTGTCACCCGTGTATGACGTAGCTTCCCGGTTAAATTCGGTTCAATAGTTTCAGAGTACAACAATAATATATTTCCTCTTTGTAATATTAATTGTGTATAGCTATGGTTAGAATAAATCAAAATGTAAAACTAATATAGAACCTTCTTTAAAAATAAAAAAGGTCAATGGAAATTAAAAATTTAAGATCACATTATTGACATTAACATTTGATATTCTCTTAGTAATTCTTTAGACTTCTTTAAATGAAAACATTTCATTTCATTTCATTTTTATACAAAAACAATATGCAGAATATTATTGTCAATATTATTAAATGCCTTGCTTGAGCCTACGATAAAAAAAAATGCGTCATAGCACACACAAGACCGATATTGACAGCATAGCGATGACAATACTTAGCGATTGTAAATAATAGATAATAACGTTTACCTACATTAAAATGTGTGTTTTAATAAATAGATTATTTATACAGTAAATAGCACTATGAACCCCACTAATTTTTTCACGTAACATATAGTTTTACCCGATAAGAAAATCAAAAACCACGTATTAAACAACTTAATTAAGCGATAATTCTGTAATAATGCACAAGAATGCTATAAATCACATTCAAAATGCAAAAAGATAAATCTTTATTGATTGCCAATTACCGTTTTTGCAACTTTTATCGTGATTGTTTTTTATAAATTTTCCATTCATAATGATATATTAATACTTTATCTTGTAGAAAATTCCTCGTTTCGAACACATGAGACGTTTGAATTATGAAATATTTTTATATTTTCTTTATAATCAAACGTCTTAACATTTTTGTTATGTCATAAGAAATAAAATAATTACGAATAGTAATAGTATTTGCATTTTATTATCTATTTTTCATAAAATCTACCGACAAAAAACACTTTCAGATTTTCCAAAGCGTCCCGATTTACAAAACATGTGGTATACTAATAGGTAAATATAAAATTACTAAAACTCACTAAGTGGTTCCAAGGCAATGTTTTTGCCGTCGAAAAGCTAATAATATATTAATTTGTTTTCCTTGATTATATGACATAATGTATATTTGTGATCTGGGGGCATGGAAGTGCCCGCGGCAAATCAAGCAAAAACTTAAAAAGAACACGACCGTAGCATCCATTTCTCGAAGTCATTGGGTCCATTATATCCCCTATAACTTGTTTAATTAGTAAACTAGAAGCCTAATTTTTTAGTGACCAAGATGGTATCACATTCCCGGTCATTAACCAATCATTCTGTGAGAGCAGATATTCAACCTTGTCATAAATTTAGGCATACTTGGAAAACACATAGGTAGGCAAATTAATGTTACATAAAAAAATCTATCTAAAGTTATTGGCTCTGTGTTTTATTGGTTTAAAACTACTTAGGTGATTATTGGGTGTGTGCGTTTGTTAGGTATTCCTAAATCTATGTAATAAGGATAACTGCTCACACAGAAAGATATGTACTGAATTAATCAACTTGGTTTGCGTTGTTTCACAACTTTTAGTGAGACTTATGCCTTTTGTACATGTTATGTTTTTAATGGGACATTATATTATGAGTTACAAGAAGAGGTACAGTATATAAAATAAACCAATTTAGAGAAGTAAAAATTGGTTCTTAATTTGGTGCAAACCCAGTTTTTAGTTGTATTATAAAAAAATGGTCTATCTGTGAGACTTGGCATAAATTATAAACATCATACAGAGCCTCAAAAACAAAAGAAAGGTTTACTTTTTAACTTTTTGTAAACTAAAATCTCTTAAATGTTGACGTATATATCAAACTAGTTTTCCTACAGTGACATTTTGTTATAAAAACAGGCTCATAATCAACGACGAATGGAGTGTTACAATAGCTTATAAGTTCAATACCTACTTCAAAAGATAATAAAGGTTTTATTTCATTGAACCTCTACCGTGATTCAATGAAATAAACAGTACTGGCTTGTCGTCGAGTATGAAGATATTATTAACAATTAATCATATCTGATCTATGATTGGATACAGGTTATACTATCTTTATATATATATAGTTATATAGTTCTAATTGCAGAAGAAGAAATGTATATTTAGATTATATTTTCTACGGATGTTGCGCTCCACGCACGAGACC